CAAAAAAAAAGACTGGGGATATGTCTCAGTGGTCGAATGCCCTTGTGTTCAATCCCTGGAACAATTAATCAATCAAATTAGGAATAAATTTAACCAAGAAAGTGAAAGAACTCTCCAATGAAAATCATGAAATGTCAATGAGGGAAATTATAGAGCATACAGAAAAATGGTAATGCATCACACATTTGTGGACTAGAAGAATTAATATTGGTAAAATGTCCATACTACTCAATGTGATCTACAAATTCAATTCATTCTATATCAGTATATCAATGACATTCTTCACACAAATAGAAAAAATTTTAAATTCCATGAGTATTACAAAGGCTTTGGTAACCAAAGAATTCTAAGCAAAAAGAACAAAGCTGGAGACATCACAATATCTGACTTCAAAACATACTACAAAGTTACAGTAACTCAAACAGTGTGGTTCTGCCATAAAAGCAACACATAGACCAATGGAATAGAAGATAAAACCTAGAAATTACTCCACATTTTTACAATAAACTGATTTTTTAAAAAGGAACCAACAGTACACATTGGATAGAGAACAGTTTCTTCAATAAATGGTGCAGAGAAAACTAGATATCCATACACAGAGAATGAAACTAGTCCTCTATGTCTCACCATAACAAAAATGAACTCAAAAAGGTTCAAATTCTTAAATATAAGACTTGAAATTTTGCAACAACTATAATAAAAAAAATAGGAATACTTCAAAGCACTGGTATGGGCAAAGATATTTTTATATGATCTAAAAGCAGCAGAAACATTAAGCAAGTTAGATAAATGGGATTATATCAAGGAAAAAATAAATGGTGTGAAGAGACAATCTGCAGAAAAGGAAAAAATATTTGCAAACTATTTAACCAACAAAGGGTTAATATCCAAGATATATACAATATCTGAATATATGTTTCTCACAAGAAGACAAATAGCTCAAAAGTATATGAAAAATGCTGAATGTCAATAATCTTTGAGAAAATTAAGAGCAAAACCACAACTACATACCATCTCACCCAAATTAGATTGGCTAGCATTAAAATTAAAAAGAAAACACAATATGTTTAAGATGAGAAGAAAGGGGAACTCTTATACACTGTTAGTTTCAATGTGAATCAGTACAGACATTATGGAAGACAGTATGGTAATTTCTCAAAAAAAATAATAATATAACTACCATGCGAGTTAGCCAATCCCAAAAAACCAAATGCGGAATGTTTTCTTTGATTTAAGGATGCTGATTCATAACGGGCAGGAGGAGGGGGGATATGGGAGGATTAAATGAACTTTAGATAGGGCAAAGGGGAAAAGGGGAGGGAGAGGTAGGGAGCAGGGAATGAGGTTACGAGAGGCGGTGGAATGAGATGGACATCATTACCATAAGTACATATACAAAGAACAAATGGTGTGACTCTACTTTGTGTACAACCAGAGGTATGAAAAATTGTGCTCTATATCTGTAATATGAAATATAATGCATTCTGCTGTCATATGTAACAAATTAAAATTTTAAAATTGAAAAAAAATAACTACTATGTGTTCCAGAAATTCTACTGCTGTGTATACATCCAAATGAAAGGAAATCAGTAGCTTAAAGATATTTGCACTCCCATGTTTATTGCAGCACTATCCCCAATAGCAAAGATATTGAGTAAACTTAAGTATCCAAGAATTGATGAATGGATAAAACACGAGGTACAAGGCTGAGATTGTAGTTCAGTGGGCTTAGTGATAGAGCACTCACCTAGCACTTGTAAGGTAATAGGTTCAATGCTCAGCACCACATAAAAGTGAATAAATAAAATAAAGATATTGTGTCCATCGAAAAAATGACATATATACATAATGGAATATTATCCAACTATAAAAAGACTAACATTCTGTCATTTGCAATAACCTAGATGAACCAGGAAGACATCAGGTTAAGCACAGTAAGCTAGGAACGGAATGACAAATACCAAATTTTCTTACTAATATGTGGAAGCTAAATAAGTTGATGTCATAGAAGTAGAATGTAGAAGAGTGGTTACCAAAAACTTGGAAGGGTAGAGTGGTAGGAGGATAGACAGAGACTGGTGATTAAGTACAAAAAATGCAGAAAGATAGGAAGGATGAGTTTTAGTATCCTATAGCACAGGAGAGTAATCATATTCAACAATAATTTATTGTATTTTTCAAATAAAGGTTTTTAAATTTTTGCAGCTCAAAGAAATAATACATGTTTTAAATGATGCCTATAATAATTATGCTATTACACATTATAAAAATATATCAAAATATCGGTGTGCCCCATAAACAGAATTATTATATGTCAATTAAAATTTTTAAACCCAAATTATCTTATTAATAATGTCTTGATTTTTATTTCTATTTTACAGTTCCATGAAGTCTTTAGATTGGTGATTTTGAAATTATATTATCATGGTAAAATATATGTGACATAAAATTTGCCATTTGAACTATTTTAAGGGTGCAATTCAAGGATATTAACTACATTCACATTGATCATAAAATATTTCTCACAATAAAGAGGAACTATGATGTTACAGTTATAGAATTTTATTTTGCTAAAAAGGACAAGACTGGAACAACTGTCAACATCTGAATAGATCAACAGATTAGGTAATAGTTTGTATCAAAGTTAGGGTTCTGATTTGAAAATTTCCAGTGTAGTTCTCTAAAAGAATATCAATGTTTTCAGTAAATGCAAACTGAAATACTTAGAAATTAAAACACAGTATGCCTAAAACTTATTCTCAATTTATTTATGTTATTGGAGGTTGAGAATAAATAAACAAGATGACCTTTTTTTTCAATGTGGACTGTAGTGGTCTCTGAAAATTGCTTCAACTTAAGTCCTCATAGTGATGCATTTAATAAGTAACCAGTGTAAAATCTGTTATCAGAGTATGAAAGTACACAAATCATCATATCTAAGATTAATAATTATTAATATTGCTTAAAATCTAATCTTGCAGGCAAGAATGAACTCCTGTTGTGGTTTCTTTGTAGCTCACCAGAGACCTTGCACAATAAAATACACGTGTAGGCGCACGTGCACACATACACACACACACACACACACAAACACACACACACACACACACACACATTGCCTGCACACACATTGTCTTCCTGGATGAACCAGGAAGACATCAGGTTAAGCACAGTAAGCTAGGAACACAACATCCCATTTCTAACCCACCACAAGGAACCCTCCACTCTAGGATGTGTATCCCTCAGAGACTCCTCTGGCTGCTGTCATTCTGCCTTAGTACCTGTTGCTGCTCTTCAGACCCATAAAGAAGTATATGTGACAGAGAAAAACTAAAAGATTAATAATTCAACCTACTTACAGAGCAAGCACCAAGCTCCCTGACATCTACAGGCTCCTCTGCTTCCTTCTGCTTCTTCTAACCTCTTTGTTCTGTAGATTACTTAAATGGCCCCTCTATAAAATGACTTTCAATTCCATCCAGGAGGGACCATGCCCTTTTCTGAATGTGAACAACATGATTCCTACACTCATCCACACACTTTTATTCAGCTTGTATTTTTTTATATTTATATGTATTATCATAAGAGACTATTGTGTGTATTGAATTCTTATCTCCTTAGCTATGTGATAAATTCACATTGCTCAGGAATCTTTGTTACCCTAACACTGAGTTCAATAATATGTAGTAAATACTAGAAGATGCCCACATTTCACTAGTAAAAAAGGTGGGGGTTCTAATCTAAGCAATTTATTGCAACATTGATTTAACTTGAGTAATAGTGAGGGTCAGCATTTTCTCTCATGAATACTGGGATACCTATTTAAATTGTAAACTTAATGAGATTATCTCTTTAGTTACTGATACATGAAGAGCAAAGGAATTATTCTTTCTTTGTTTTTTATTTTTTTTAATGTATTGGTTCTTTTCCTTGTTTTTTTTTTTTACAAGTGCTACTGAATCCTCAAGTCTCTTCTTTATTTTCTGAGAATAACTCTGAGGAATGTAACTTTAAAAAGAAGTCTTAAATTATTTTAACATTTATTTGTGGCATCAGTTTTATAGCAGTTATCTTAGATAAAATAGGATAAATTTTAAAAGTCAGCATAATAATATAAAATACTTTTCTCCTGGTTCATGTGTGATAATCAAGGTTGAAAATGGGAATGTAAACCTGGCCTAACTCTGAGAAAGAATAAGTTTATTGTCAATAAAAGTCAGAATGGTAAAAAAGAAAGCAAAAATCCCTTTGGAGGCCTTAGTGCCTTACTGACAGGAATACATTGCACACAAACACAGTAGTGAGAACTGGAAATGGAAAAACTGGTACTTCCTTAATATCCCCACAGACCTGGATAGTTCACAGAGTGACCAGTCTGTCCTTAGCATGAAAATGTCCACGGATCTGCAGAATTTTTAACCACCCTGATTTGAGTCAGTTTCCTACCACCGGGCTCACTCTGTCCTTGCTTATTTCCAAATGTGCTGAACTTCAGTTTCCCAAGAATGCTGAACTATGAACTCACTGTTCCCCTTTTTGTTATAAAAGCCTCAGTTCTGCTTTACCCCCATAAAACATTTGTTCAGTTTCCAAATTGAACTTGTATCTTTCATTTCCATTTAACTTCATTTGTGATTTTGTTTCAAATCATGTAGCATCAAAGGCAACAGACAAGAAAAGCCCTCTTCTTTATTGCTAGACAGCAGTGTTACTTGAATCAGACATTTTGTTCTTTCTGTATAAAACTTTTTTCATATTTTTCTTGAGAGGGTATAAACTTTGGAGACATTCATGATTCAAAAATCTAGTAGTCTATAAATACAGGGAGTCTAAACCTCACCCTTTTCCTAATTAATTCTCAGTAGAACGATCTAAGGGAATTGGGTCTGCCCCATAAAAAGTTATCAAAAGTCTATAACTCCCACTCTTTAATCTTAGCACTCTGGTCCCATGAGGCAAACTATTGAGGCTAAAATAATTCCGGAAGGCATTGAACTCACAGAGATTCTCACAGCCACACAGATGAAGAGTGACAAGACAGAGAGGTAGATCTGGAGTCTCTTCCCTCCAAATCGCTTCCTGAGATATTCCGGCATAGTCATCACCTGCAGAGATAAACATCAACAGGAATTCATCTTCAGACCTATTGCATTCAGATTGTTCAATACTCAGTAAGCACTTATGGGCAGTTAAATACTGCACATTGTGCCTGGGAATACAGAGATAAGAAAGGCTCCTTTCCTTGGTAAGATGACAAAACCAGAATGAATACAGGCTCTGGTAGCAGATCATCTTGGGTGATCCTCCAGCCCCAACATTTACTGGATGTTATGATCTCTGACAAATGACAATATTTTTGAATCTCTATTTTCTCATCTGTAAAGGGTTTAATTAAGTACCTACAAGAACACCAAATGCCTGGTAGACCCTCAGTTCAACAAGTAATTTTTATTTTTACCATATAAAGTTGCAATCCATTAAAAACAATATCACTTGCAAATAATGAATAATTATGATTATACAATGCACAAATAATTGAAATAACTGCAAATTTGCACTTGGGTATTTATTTTTAGGGATTTTTTAATCATAGAGAATACCATAAAATTGCTATTTAGAGAAATACTTGTGGTTTTCATTACTGAAATACAAGATTAAATATATAATCTCTTATCACATCAGTGGTATCACCTAAAGGCAGAATTTATAACTAAAAGGGAAGCAGGACTAAAAACCTGGCCAAAGAAAGAGTGAAGAAAAAGTGTGTAGGATGTATGCATGTGTGTAGCAACTGCTTGCTTAAGATATTAGCATGGATAAAAGAAAGCCAGGTGCTGTGTATCTGGCAATGGGGAAAAGGTCTCAGGAGTATTTCAGAAATCTTCAAAGCTGCCCCTTCCATCACAGGCCCAGAAGCTTAGGAGGACAGAATGTTTTAGGGACTAGACCTGATGTCATCTCCATGGGTTTGCTACACCAGGGCCACCTCAGTAATCTGCTCCACACAGCCCGCTACATTGCTTTGCTGTCATATCAGTGGCTTAATTAGAACCAACATAGTTCATGCTGCCACTACAAGGAAGCAAACATTGGGTCTTGGTGGCAACCATATGGTGCTAATTCTGCAGGCATAGAGAGTACAAGGACTATAGAGTAATGGGGACAGATTTCAAAGGAAAATCTGGGAAGCCGGGAAAAGTTTGGCCACAAGGACAGAGACACCAGAGTCTCCACTGGGACTATGATGGGTGGAGCCACACCAGTACGCTAGAACTGTAAAGAGAACAGCAAAATGTAATGTCATCCTAGAAATGCTGTAGGAACTCAACTCCAATCCCTAAGATACCTTATGGACAACAGAACCTAGCAAAATCACAGCAGCAGGGTTGTCCAAGTTCTCCTGAGGTCAATTTAGAGACTAAGTATTAATGTTTGACCTGCTGGATTTTATATTGCTGGGACCTGTGATTTCTTTCCTTTGGCCAATTTCTACCCTTTGGAATTTGAATACTTATCTTATCCCAGTCCCACTTTGTATCTTGGAAGTAAATGACTGTTTTATTTTACAAGCTTGCACTGGAAGAAGTTTGCCTTGAGTCTCAGATGAGACTTTGGACTTTCACTTTGAAGATGATGCTGGAATGAGTTGTCTTGGGAGCTATTCCCATGGAATGAATGTACTTCACATTGTAAGACAGACAAAAACTTTGAGGGCTAGGGAGAGAAGTCTATGGTGTGATTATGATTTATCTCTCAAAGGTTCATGTGCTAGAAATTTTGTCCCCAATGTGGTAGTGTTAAAGTAGTAGAATCTTTAAGAGGTAGAACCTAGTGGATTGCAAATATGTTAAAGTTCCACTCTCATGAATGGATTAATTGATTTATCCTCATAAATGAATTGGGTTACTTCTTGAAGGAGTGAGTTGTTACAAAGCAAGCTCACCCCACATGCTTAGTCCCTTCTGCTTGCAATCATTTCCATTTCTTCCTCTCCACCATGTTGGGACACATCAGAGATCTTCATTAGAGCCAAGCAGATGCCATCACCAAACTCTTGAACCCTAAGAATTGTTAACTAAATAAACTTCTTTTCTTTATAAAGTACCTAGCCTGAGGAATTTTGTTAAACAACACAAAATGAACCAAAATGGAATCCTAAAGGCACAAAACTCACCCATGTCCAAGAGAACTCATTGTTCTCCTCATCATCTACTATGTGGCTTCCCTCTGGAAAATATACCTGCTCCGTTAATGGTGTCCTCATGCATTCAGGTCCTTCAAGCTTCAAGCTTCAGAATTGTCCTTATGCTTCTCTAATAAACAACCTTTGCATAACTCTTATCTACAATCCCACCTGTCACCCCTACCCCCAAAGCAGTTTCCCTTCCTTTCTCCTTCCTTCCTACAGCCTCTGAAGCAGGTTTAAATATCTTCCTTTCGTGAATCCCCTCCTCAATTTTATTGTCAATTCAGATGTCCACTTAGTTGTGTGAACAGAAATTCTTAAAACATGAATCTGATCATGACCCTTGAATGCCTGAAACCTACATTGCCCATTTCTAGGAAGACACAGGGCACAGTTTTTAAGTCTAGAATACATATCAGCCTTTCACAATGGAATACCACCTACATCTTTAGACTGATCTCCATCTCCCACCACCCTCCCACATATACTCTATTTTAACCAAAAATTAACCTCACCTACAAATACTCCAAGCTTAGGAATTTTTAGCTTCCATGTATTGTTTTCACTGACCATTCATGATCTGATTTTTCTACCTATAAAAGTTACTCTTATCCCTAAGTCTCAGGTCAAGTCATTTCTGAGAAGCTTTCCTTAAAGCACATGGGTGACCCCAGCTTCAGGACTCCTATACCAGGCTGACTTCTACCGTGGTAGTCATTATGCAGGACCACTAAGGTTTCTTACTTGGTTGCAGTTGCATTCTACACTGGGAGCCCTGCTAGGCAAGGAATTTGGTTTTTGTCACCTGTGTGTTCTTAGCAGTAGACTGTCCAATTCAGGATTGAAAAGAAACAATGAATAAAAGAATGTCTGAAAATACATCTGAGAGATTTACCTTGAACACGGGAGGATACTCACCCCTCCCTTAATGTAGATGGGGACAAAGATCCACCCTAGAACCAATACCATATACATGGCCTACAAGAAACAAAGAGTAAAGTTAAAAAGGCTTGACTCATGTAACTTATTGTCATGATTTCTGAGTCTGAAAAAAAAGTTTGCTTAGATCCTGTCTCATTCAAATAATTATGATCCTCAGTAAACTGGGTGTTCCTTTCCTGTGTCTGTTTGCCTCAGAAGTTCCTTTTCTAAGGCTGAGAATGTGAAGATGAGTGGTAAAAAAAAGAGAGAGAGAGAGAGAGAATAAGAGATCTGAGCCCAGATTGACTACTAGAAGATCATACACTTTTTGCCAAAATTTCTTATTCTTGCTAAAATTATACATAATATATACATAATATATATTATGATTGCATGCCTGTTTCTTCAACTGGAATGTAAGCCTTACAAAAAGGGATCATTGTTTTACAATATTTTTGTTCTTCCTATCCAGCTCTCGGGGCTTCATACATGGTATCTAGAAAAGAGAGAAAAAAGTGACAGGGAAATTGTGGTGGTCAATAATAAGAAAGGAATTGGGAGATAGAAGAATATTCCTAGTGACTTTGACATTTTTCTATATGTATAATACTGATTGCAATATAATATAGCATTATATGCAATGTTCACAAAGAGTTTTTGCATATATAATTTATGCCACTCTCACAAATAGGTAAGGCAGGTATGATAAGCACAGTTATTCCTGTCTTACTGAAGTGAGAAGCGAGTATCATAGAGATTAGCAATGCCTAAGGTCACAGACTAATATTGGAAAACCTGAGTTATCTGCAGCCTGATAATCACACCCAGTTGGACGTAGGTCACTCTGAACAGGGACTCCAGAGGCAGAGTCCACAGCACTATCAAAACAAAACTCTGTCCACAAAGTGTATCCGGATGCTGGGTACATAATAGAGTCCCTGGTATTACTAAAATAAAATTAGGGGCAGAATTTTCAATAAGAGAGGGGCAAAGGCATTTGTGATGACTTAAGATCACTTTCTGAGGCCATCAAGGAATAATCTGTTTAAACTTTCACTAGGATACAACTTTCTTCAACACAAGCATCTTTCTCTGGCCAATATGTATGCACAAGTATATGTAAATACTAGAAAGGATAAAAGAATAAGAACAACAAAAACAAACTCAGTTCACTCAAGAAGTATTTATAGCACATTTACCACATATCCCAGCCATGGGATAGATGTAGGGTGGTATGAGTGGAAGAGAGGACATTGCCTCTGTCTTTAAAGAACTTAGAGTCTGATTAAGGGGACATGGCTTATACCAGTGCAGCAACAATAGAACCATTCACAAAAGGAACTCAATCACAAAGTCTTATAGATTCTGTCTACTGTCTTTCAAATCATTTGCCTCTCACTCTACCATTACTGCCTCCATCTAACCCCACTTGGACCATTTGTACTCATCCTTCTCACATCTATGCCAAGAAGCTCCCTTGACATGTACGAATACTACCCATCTCCTATGAGGGATGTGCCCCTATGAGATCCCTCAATACACTGTCAATTCTTCTCTCCTAACACTTTCTACACTGTAGTGAGTGCATGCCTGTTTCTTTAACTGGAATGTAAGCCTTACAAAAAGGGATCATTGCTTTACAATATTTTTGTTCTTCGCATCCAGCTCGGGGCTTCATAGATAGTGTCTAGAAAAGAGAGAGAAAAGTGACAGGGAAATTGTGGTGGTCAAGTGAAAGAAGGGATCCAGTCATATAGAAATGACACGTGTGGTGGGAATAGCTGCTTGACAAACATATCAAAGGTGAGTAATAATGTGACTGGAATTCCCTTGGCAGAATGGGATTACAGAGGTGCTAAAAGTTAAATAAAACTTGAGGAGAGGAAAGTTAAAATTTTTTCAAAACCAGAGAGAAGTACAATTTTTACAGACTCCCTGAAAAACCTGGGGTTTGGGTTTGATTAAAATATCTTGATATGGGTTTGATTTAAAGAAAAAAGGCCAACGATGTCACTTACATTCCATTCATCTACTACAACAGCAATTCCTGAAGCTGCTGCTGACCCAGCCAGGCCCACAAAGTGGTCACTGCCAATGTTACTGGCAAAGAGAGAGGCACCCATCTGGAATGCAAGAGAACAGGGTAAGGTTGGGATGAAAAGATCCAAATCAGACTTCTTAAAAACAGATAGCTGTTGACATGTTTCTATCACTACTCCTTAGAGCAGGGGTCAGCAATATATGTTCCACGGGCACCATTTTTTGTATGACCCATAAATTGAAGAATGTTTTTTTTTTTCATTTTTGAGTGGTTAAAATAGTTAAAATTAAAAGAAATTTTTGCGAAAAGTGGAATATGAAACTTAAGTTTCAGGGCCCATATATAATTTTATCAGAACGCAACCATGCTTACTGGCTTACACATTCCCCTTGGATGCTTTTATGCTAAAATAGCAAATTTATATGAAATCAATATATAATCCATAAACAATAAAATACTTAAAATATGGCCTTTTTCAGAATAGCTTTTTTACTCCTGCCTTAAGGGATCATTAATCCATCAATTTAAAAGCTCTAAGTTGAAGATGCCCTTGGTTAAGAACTGCCAGACTTCCTGTCAATTCTTGCCTCTTGAATCAGCAACAAGGACCACAAAGTTTATTATAAGGGAATTCCTCTCTATCCTTCCAGCCACACATCCTTCTTTTTATACATCTATCTTTCCTTGGAATTATCTGCTCTTTTTAAGATTGACAGATGAAGAGAAATCCTCTGAGTGAGCATAGATTAACAGCCATCAGATCCAAACAAAATGTATGTTCCCAACTTTTCAGACCTCTGTAAAATCACTTCTTCTATTCAGATATTCGGGATCAGAGAAGTGATTGAGCTGATTTATGATTATGTAGTTGATTGAGATTTGAATGTTTCATAAAACAATACTAAGAAGGCAATGTCTGATTGGACACCCCAAATAAAAACTGATTTTCAGCTTATAAATGATCTGTTTTGTTAATCCTGGTCATTTCCCAATCTCTATTTCCTTTCATACTGTTTAAATGAGTAAGCATATCTGTGAAAAATAATTCACTGAGCACTTGCTTACAACCAGTTCTGACACTCTCCAAGTTCATAGGGAAAGATAAAGCCTCTGCTGAAATGGAAATCTGACTAAGGGGATGGGGGTCACATCAAAATCCAGAAAGAGTACCTAAAAGGTCAAGAGTCAAAGATGCATCACTATTGACACCATCACAGGGAACACAATCCACTATTAATAAGTACATAAACATAGGAGTAGGCATTCGGGGCAAGAGTGTATTAAACTGGGAGTAAGATAAGAATTGAAAGAGGAGAGGCTAATTCAGACAGGAAGAGCATCATTAGCTCAAGATTGGGAGAAATGTAGGAATATGTGGAACCAGTAAGAATGCAAGGCAGAAGATTTTTGATGAGGATCAGGGGTAAAGCACATGAGATAAAACTGAATTGGGGGTCCTTAAACTCCAGACTAAACCCATTCACATAAATGATGACACTATCTTTTTGCACACAACCATGAGGCCAGAGATCTAAGAAAACAGGCAAAACACATCAGAAATGATCAATATTACTACTGTTTTCTTTATTCGATCTTAAACACAAATACAGGAAATTTATCTCTATGAAACTCTGCCCCACTTACTGGCCACCAGGACATATCTCGACCAGCCAGGAAAAAGCCTCCAACAGTGCCTCGGTTGGTCTTCAGCATCGCCTGAGCAGAAAAGAAGACATATGAAGGTAAAAGAACTGCAGAAGTACAAAAGACCCCAGAGACCCCCTTCTGGCCAGGGTGCTGACAACAGTGTTTTCAGCGTTCCTGCAGAGAAAAACAGTTCCATGGAACAGTTCCCTGTTAAAACAAAAATTTTTGGAGGACCTCAAAATATAGATTCATAAAGAGAATTGAGATGACTTTAGTAATTCATATTTCTCAACTCTATCCCAGCTGCTCTGTTTAATTTCATTTATGAAAACAATATGAGGTATTATTCCATCTGTGATTGAAAGGAAATTTGCAGCCTTAATCTCATTCCTAAAACAAAAGCATAAATGTACAGTAATTATTAAGTGTCCAACTCACTAAGCCAGAAAGTGAAAAACATCAAATAATTAGGATATAATAAAAATAACATCTTTGTTCATTATGCTAAATGTTGGAGATGCTAAACAAAATAAGTCTGAATTCCAACTGCTGATTGTTCAAATTACAGAGTTGCTAAGAGAAAAAAAAATTCAGTAAAAGCATTATTTATGTCACACATCACATGCAAGAAGAATGATCCAAATAGAAAGAAATGACATTTGTGAAAACTGTTAATATTATCTCAGTTTTTTATGCCATACTCTCCTACCCTGAAACATTTTCCCCCCAACCCTCGTGCCCAAACTGAAGCTCATTGGGATCCCACATACCCACAGCCCAACAGCCATCACCACAATGAAATATACAACAATGACAGAGATATCCGCAGCATTTTGGATGCGCCCTGACAATGCAGGCAGTTCTGGATTTTCAGCCTTGGTAGTAGGGCTTAATGTGCTGCTGGCCATGGCTCCAGGCGATGCTGTCCTTATCCCAAAGATAGCCCCTTTCTTTATATAAGCACTGAGTTAATGATCAGCCTCAGCAGGTGGAGCAAGATATCAGAGTGAGTTCCTGGGCATGGGGACCTTTAAACCTCTCCTTTGAATCCAGGCTCTGAGACCTTGCTCTTGTAGTGATCAGTGCTAGCCTAGGTAGTGACAGACCCAGGCTGATTTTCTCTTAAAATTGGGAGCCACTTCACCACAAAGCCATAGAAAGATAATTTCGGCTTTACTATAAATCACTGCAAAATTTAACTAGTTTAGAATGCCTGCCCGTGCCTTCAACTCATCCATGCCTGGCTCTCTCTGACCAGATAACGTCCCTCTCTGAAACTTTAGTGATGCCTCACAAATCTTGGCCTTCCCTGGCCAGATAACAACCCTCTCTGAGGCTCTAATGACCTTCATAAATTCTGGTGCTGGGGCCAGCAAAAATATAAACTAGCCTTTGTGTTATGCTCCTCAGAGTTTTATTATCTGTAACTCCACTTTGTATAACTTTCTGGGCTATAAAGCTGGGCTGCAAAAAAGCTGAGGGGTTATCTTGTTCCCGCAGTTTTTGGTGGGAGAGGCAGCCTGGCCAGTCGAAATAATAAGCTTGCTTTAATTTGATTTTAATTGGAGTCAGTGGTCTTTTCTTTGTATCCTGGTCTAACAGAAGGAGGACTAGAAGTTCATTGGATTAGACAAAAGGAAATGAAGGGAAGAAAGGTATGGGAATAGAAAACACAATAGAATGCATAACTTTCCTATGTTCATATATGAGTACACAACCAGTGAAATTCCACATCATGTACAAGCACAAGAATGGAATCCTAATTAGAAAAGTTATACTCCATATATGTTTAATATATCAAAATATATATTATTGTCATGTATATCTAAAAAGAACAAATAAAAATAAATAAGTTTAAAATAAAGAAAGGGGGAAAATAATAAAGGTCTGGGAGCCGAGCGTGGTAGTGCAGGCCTATAATTCCAGCAGCTCAGGGGCTGAGGCAGGAAGATAACAAGCTCAAAGTCAGCTTCAGCAACTTAGCAAGGCCCTAAGCAATTTAACAAGACCCTGTCTCTAAATAAACAATAAAAAAGGGCTGGGGATGTGGGTCTGTGGTTAAGTGGCCCTGAGTTCAATTTCCAGCACAAAAAAAAAAAAACTTATTTTGGACCATTTTGCAAAAGGAGGACATTGTTCCCAGGACACTGTATCTGTTTTTCACTCCACTCAGGGGAGGCTCTGGAATCTGCCAACTTTGAATTCTCTAGTTTTGGATTTTGTGGAGGGAGGTGGTTAGAAAAGAAGCCTGTAGTATTTGGATTTTGAAAAGAATGGAGACAAGTGAGGAGGCTGTTTAAAAGACTTTCTGCAGGTGAAAGTGTGCGCTTTTCTGTTGGTGTTTTTTTCTGGATACCTCACAAACCCTTGAAGTGAACTTAGCTAAGTTCAGTAATTAGAATAAATAACATTTAATGAGTGTTGTCTCTGGGTGGGTTCCCACCTTATCTAAGCAACTAACCCTCCCCCTCCAGAGTGATTGTCACTCCGTTCCTTCAGCTCTGGAAAAAAAATGGGGCTGAGAAATAGCAAATGGCTTGCCTCAGATAACACAGCTTTCCAGCACAGAGCTGGGATGGTGCACAAGAAAGCCTTTGCAAGGCAGCATGGCTTGGATTGTTTGTTGAAAAATGCAGATTCCCAGTTCCATGCTTCTCATGTCTGACTTGGTCTATCCCAGGTGGGGCCCAGGAATCCATATTTTTCACAAGTTCCTGTGTGATTATAATGTGCACCCTTAATATTGACCCTTATAAGGAAATAGAACCATGCATGCAGGCCAGTCTCCATAATTTGATATGCCCACTTCATGAGTGTCAGCTGATGATGTTTGGAAATTTTGCTTGTGACAATTAGAAAAACATTAAAGGATAGGCTTTGCACAGCTGATGCTCCCTAACTGAGATACTGGTTGATGACTGGCATTTTCCAAAGGAACCAGCAAGAGGTTTGGTTACCAATGTTGTCTTTAGTTGGAGCCCAGACATGTAATCAAAAGCAACTGGTCAGAATGGATCCATTTGTTGGTTGGTTGGTTGGTTGGTTGATTGGTTGTACTAGGGATTGAACCCAGGAACTCATAACCACTGAGCAACATCCCCAATCCTTTTTATTCTTCTCTTTTGATACAGTGTCTCCCTAATTTGCTGAGGCTAGTTTTGAACTTGCAATCCTCAGCCTACAGAGCTAGGGATTACAGGCATGTGCCACTACACCTGGATTGGATTCTTTTTTTTTTTCTGTGAACATCTCCCTTACTCCACACTGAAGCAAGACAGACTTTTTAATTAACTCAGCCTTTCTGTCACAAAGCTAACTGAGAACATACATTTCATGTCATTTGTAAGGAGGCATAAAAAAATGGGTTTTTTTACAAAAAAAAAAACTAAAATCAACATGCTATAGCAATACAGCCACTTCAGTGTTATAGCAGCACAATTCACATAGCTAAATTAAGAAATCAACCCTGATGCCTGTCAATAGATAATTGGATCAAGAAAATGTGGTGTATATATACCCAATGGAGTTTTACTCATCCATAAGGACGAATGAAATTATAGCATTTGCTAGTAAATGGATAGAAATGGAGACCATCAAGATTAGTGAAATAAGTCAGATCCAGAAAATCAAGAATTGAATGTTTTATCTCATATGTAGAAGCTAGAGGAAAAAATGGAAAAGAAGTCAGTTGGGGAGAAAATTGGATATCATAAAGATATAAGGAAGATCAGTGGAGCAGAAAAAGGAAACTAAAGGGAGGGAGGAAGGAAGAGAAAGAGGAAGAAATGTGGAATGAATTTAACAAAATCATGTTATATATAAATACACCAAAGAGAATTTCATCTTTATTTATATGTAGAAATTATCAATCAAAAAATAAATAATTAAAGGAGTGAACAGAGGATCAGTAGAGGAAGGAGAATAGGGAGAAGGAGGAGGGAAGGAAAAGGGGGAATGGGAATTGATATCAAATTCCTTGAATGCAGGAATTTGTCTAAATGAACCCAAATATTATGTATAATTTTAATGCTCTAATAAAAAAATGCAAGGATAAAGAGGAAAGAAAAGAATGCTAAAGAAAGGAACCATATAAAAAATTTAAATATGGAAAACAGATGATAATTAAAATGATGAAATACAATGGAAAGTAAAATAATTCTTGAGGACTTGTTTTTAATGTAAGATTAATTATAATCCAAATAGGTAATAACATTTTTTCATCTTGTTAATAAAGACATAACTACAATAAAAGAAACTCAATTAAAATCCAATCACTTTAACACTAAAAATTTAACAATGCTGAACATGGCAAACGAAGCTAGGAATGTTTCTCATGCTGGAAACATGAGAAACATGAGCTGGACTCAGCTTACAGGGTGGATTGAAAGGGCTCAGAGTCAGAGAGAGGGCCTGGAGCCTTCTAATGCATTTCTGTCTCATGCGGCCCAACTGAGATCTGAGCTAGTGACCTCAGAAAACACTTTTCCATTACTGTAACAAAATTACTGCATAAAAACAACTTAAAAAGAGGAAAATTTTATTGTAGCATTTTGTCTCATAGTTTCAGAAGTTTCAGTCCATGGTTTCTTTGTTCTCTTGCTCAGGAGTCTGGTAGAAGTTAAATTTAAGATGTTCAAAACATCCATCTTGCTAGGTGCTTCAGAAAATTACTCTGATTGGAGAACTATTTGAGGGAGCAGGAACTCTACTGATGTATTCAGTGGGGAACTAGACTAAATTTTTAAGTATAGTTAATAAAACTTATGAACATCTATATCTTTTACAACTATTTAAAATAGTTTTAAATAGATACCTAGATAGTAGTGATTCAAAAATATGGCTGGGTCTAACCCAGGTAATGTTTGGGAAGTAAGGACTTTGGAATCAAGGTGCAGAAGAGGATCTCATCAGAATGGCTCAACTTCCCTGAGCCTCAGTTTTCTTATCGGAAAAAACAAAAACAAGAACACCCTGCTCCCTTTGTGACCTTGATCTGACCTATGTCTGGCTTTCCACTTGTTACTGCTCCACACTGTGGTCACACACTCAGGCCTTCTTGTATCTCCATCTCTCTCATTAATGCCTAAGAACTATGTGCTTTGTATTCCTTCTTCCTAGAACATGCTTCCCCAGATCTGGCCTGGGTTGGATGCTCTTCCTCAGTTTAATAGAAAGCAGGTCAGATCCTGTTATGGTTCATTCTTTCACTGCCTGTAGTTTGATTGGAGTGTTCCCTATATTTTTATTGGAGTGTTAAAAGCATTTTCACCTCAAACAATTCCTGATAAGGGAAGACTGATTTGTATTATTTTTTTGTTTGTTTCCTAGAATATCTTATAGCCCCTCCTTTCCTGCAAGATTATCTTCTTTCCTCTTTAGTTGATTTTTTAATGAAACATTTTCATTCCCAGCCCTTTCATTTCTTTGTGGTTCCTACAGGGATTCTATTTAATATGAGAGATAGCATTCTGATGTGAATCTATAGCAGCCTAACTTGATAATGTACAAAACATTCCTCCCATACAGCTCCCACACCATTCCCCCTCAGTTACTGATGTCACAAAGTTACATGTATAC